CCCCCGTAAAGTGGGGAAAGCGCACGTAGAGACATTTCTTTGGCGGCTTTGCCCTCATCTCTTATCATTTCTCTTGAGTTTCACCCAGACACTTACACGGGAGGCAGATCACCAAGAACCCGGGGCCCTTGGGGTCTGTTCTGGGGGGAGCTTGGGCAGGCCTTCCGAATGAGCCGCCCAGCTTATTAAGCTGGAGGTGAAGTGATCCTCTGCACACCTGGATTCAATGTTAAAATGCCAGACCCCAGGGGAGGAAGGAGAGAGGTCCTAGGGAAGTCCTCCTGTTTTGTTAGAGGCTGACTCGGTGTCCCCGTTGTGCCTGTTTTCTCTTCAGGGCTCTCCTTCACCATGCAGAGGAAGAAGGTGGACAACCGCATCCGTGTCCTCATCGAGAATGGGGTGGCAGAGCGGCAGAGGTCTCTGTTTGTCCTCGTGGGGGACCGTGGGAAGGATCAGGTAAGAGCCTGGGCGCCTTGGTCTGTTCCATCCGAGGCATCATGTCCTGAGAACTGTCTAAGGTCTCTGGCAGAGAGGAGGGACGGTGTCAGGGACTGTCAGGAAGTCTGCCACCTCATCCTGCAGAATCTTAGACAAACCCTTCTTCCTTCCCGTGTGATGGGAGATTTCTGGATGCCAGACGTGCTTTCTGCCTCAAGGAAATGAATGGTCTTTGAGTCTGGGTAGAATCTGATTTGGGGGCGAGGGGCTAGGCTCTAGTCCTTTTTCTGCAGCTGAAAGGCTGGGTTGCTGTAGAGGAACACTTTTCCGTTTCTAAGCCTCAGTTCCCACTGGTTCTCTAAGGCTTACAGGATTGAGAGCCAGATGGGACCTTAGAGATCATTTATCACAATGCCCTCATCGTGTAGATGAGGAAACTGAGGCTGGAAGAGAGGAAGGCTTGATTCCTGTGTCCCACATTAGCCTTGGACGTACATAACAAGGATTTACCTAATCCTAATACCAAGCGAACATTAGGCTTTGTGAGCTTCATGTGGAAGGTAGAACCGTAGGACAAATAGGCCGAGGATGGTTTTGGCTCAGGAGGTTGGTGGCAGCTGCTTCGTCAACTTTTGAGTCCATTCAGGCTGATGACTGAATCACAGTGGGTTGGTGGAAGCCTTCCTCTGAATAGGGCATGAAGTCATGGAATCTGATCCATCACTCAGCCCTTTGGTGAGGGCCCATTATGTGCCAGGCACCAGGAACACAGAGGCAAAAAGGGTAACAGTCTCTGCTCTCTGGGATACCTTGTTGGGGAGATGTGAATACCGAATAATTCAGGGAGGGGGAGCAGACTCAGGCAAGGCTTCGTGGAGGTGATGACGAGGCAGAGTCCTGAAAAGGGTGAGGAGGGGGAACATTCCAGGCACGGGGACAGAACGGGTGAATTCAGACACCTTTATGCTTGAAATCTTCACCTCCAAATGTCCCCCCACCTGCTGCATTGCCCGGACTTTCGCATCTCCACCAAGTGGCACAGTGCTTAGTATAGTCAGTGTTTATCAGCTGATTGGTCAATTGACTGTCGCTTCTTCGGGGTTTCAGAGATGTCGTTTTTACTCCCCCCGTGACTTAGCTGGTCTCCTTTCATTGTTTCTCATTCCAATGATCTGCCATCTCCTCCTTTTGGCAGGTGGTCATACTCCACCATATGTTGTCTAAAGCAGCTGTGAGGGCCAGGCCGTCTGTGTTATGGTGTTATAAAAAGGAACTAGGTTTCAGCAGGTAAGCCTGACCCCTTTCTTCTTTTCTCCAATCCTCGTAATTGGGTTGTAGGCCTTCTGGATTGTCTGGTGCAGTGCCAGTTTTCCAGGTGTCTGACCTTCAGATTACAGGGATAGGGAACCTGCAGCCTGGAGGCCACATGTAGCCCTCTAGGTCCTCAAGTCTGGCTCTTTGACTAAATCCAAATTTGACAGAACAAATCCCCTTAATAAAAGGATTTGTTCTGTGAAACTTGGACCCGGTCAAAAGGCTGCACCCAGGGACCTAGAAGGCCACAGGTTCTCCGCTCCTTCTAACCATTAGAAGAACAACAGTGGCAGGGCTTATAGGTGATTTAAGGTTTACCAAGTGCTTCACAAATAACATACCTCATTGGAGCCTCACTGTGACCCTTGAGAGGTAGGTACTGTTAATATCCCCACTTTACAGTTGAGGAAACTGAGGCAAGCGATCTGCCCAGAGTTACACTCGTGGCAAGTGTTTGAGTTCAAATCCTGGTTAGTATGTAGTGACCTGGGCGATCATACCCTACTTCCAACTTGTTTCTACTGTAAAATGGGGGTGATCAGGGCCGTCGAGAGAATGAGGTCGGGGGCTGTGACGCCCTCCACACGCTCCACAGACGCTGGCGGCTTCTCTCTGCAGTCACCGCAAGAAGAGGATGAGGCAGTTACAGAAGAAGATAAAGAGCGGAACGCTGAACTTAAAGCAGGACGACCCCTTTGAGCTGTTTGTCGCGGCCACCAACATCCGTTACTGCTACTACAACGAGACACACAAGATCCTGGGGAACACCTTCGGCATGTGCGTCCTGCAGGTAACGGCCCGGCCTGTGCCTGGCCACCCAGATGGGGCCTGCTGGGAGGCAGAGACACTCATCAGCTGTGGAACCCCGGGCAAGTCAGCATCTTAGCCCAGAAGCGTCTGAGGGAATCTTTGTCACCCCTGTGCAGACGCAGTCACACCCCAGAACGTGGGCTCTATAGGCTCTGCTTGCAAAGTGCATGTCGTGACGTGTGTAATGTGTACATTCTCTTAACAGAAACATTTGTATGTGTGCGCATGTATGTGTGTAAGGGGGACTGTTGGTTGCTCCCCACCATTTTGACACGTTTATTGGTGGGGAAAGGCGCTCCCTACTCAGTTACTTCAAGCTGAGTGCGTGTGCGTTCTGCTCCCTCCCTGGGCACTCAGATACCGCCAAGCCTGCCTGCTGGTGGTGTTCATGCAGTGGCCGGTGGGCAGAACCCCTCCAGGCCCCATGATGAGTGGGTGATCCGTTGTCCCAGCTGTGGTCGAAGAGGGGAGCTCCGTCCTCGGGCTGTCCTGGGGCCTTGTTGGGCTTCTGGGTGAGCAGTCTTTGTGTGTCTGATCCTTCTCTTAGGATTTTGAAGCCGTAACCCCAAACCTACTGGCACGGACGGTGGAAACGGTGGAAGGGGGCGGGATCATTGTGATCCTCCTGCGGACTATGAATTCCCTCAAACAGCTGTACACCATGACCATGGTGAGCCTGTGGTGTTGGCCCAGGCCTTATGGGGGGTGGGGAAGCCCCGTGCTGAGCCACTCTGGGGGGCCCTCCCTCTGCTCAGGCACTGGCACCGTGATCAGACCTGACGACTAGACCTTTGAAATGAGGCCCAGCCCAGACTCAGGCTCTGGCCCTGCTCCCTCCTGACTCTCCTCCTCTTCTCCATTTCCTTTGCCTGCTTATCATCCGTGTCACTGGGGATGTCCCCAGGCCTGTCCCAGGCTCTCTTCTCTCCTCTCTCCGTGACCTCATCAGCAGTCAGGCCTCCCCACATACAGCTGGCCCCGTGCCTGAGCTTCATTCCTCCATCACCTCCTAGACGTCAGGTATTTTGAGGTGGATGCTCCAGAGGCATCTCACATTCCGCGTCTTCAGAAGAGTCCTTACCACATCTCCCCTCCAGGGCTCCTCTTCCAGGCTTGCCCTGTTTCTGTCGAGCGCCACCCTCCTTCTAGGCCCTTGTCCATTTCTGATCACTCCCCGTCCCTCTGCCCACACTGCCAGTCTGTTACCAGGTCTTGTCCCCTCTGTCCTGAGGCCCTCCTTTCCTCTTGCCAGGTCTCACAGCCTCCAGGCCCTTCCCTCTCTGGTCCGTTCCAAGGGCCACTCTAAGAGCACAGATATGCCTGTATTCCTCCCCTGCTCAGCAAGCCTCCATGGCTCCCTATTACTTGAGGATCAAAGAAAAACTCCTTCCCAGCCCGGGCTTCAGCCTGCCCATCCCGGTGTTTACAGGTGACTCTCCTTCATCCACTCCTCTACCCGGCTTAATCAGCCTTGTTGACATTCCCTTATGTGGTGTTCCATCTTCTGTCTCTGCCTTTGGCCGTCTCCTCCCCCACCCCCAGCTGCTAGAAGTCCTCCCACGAAGATTAAGGTCCCTTAAGCCTACCTCTCTGTGTCTGGCTGGAGTAGTAAGCCCTTCCGAAATGCCTGGGGGGTTATTGATTGAGTAGATGCTCAGGAGACAGGATCTTCTATTCCTCCATCCCTTCAGTTTAGCCAGCGTTCTGGGCATACAGCTCAGTGAGGCCTGGAGTGTTTAGCTCAGACGCCCAGTGGGGAGAGAAGGTGCAGACACAGATAACAAGAATACGTATCATTTATTTCAAGCTCTGCTCATTTGGGGGTTACTCAACAAAGAACTGTGTGAGCTTGGAAGGAGGCCATTCCTGACCTCCCGGGCTTCAGAGCCCATTGTGGAGGAGTTAGCATTGGAGCTGGAATGTTAAGAGACCCCAGTTGGAGAGGGATGGCATTGTGGGCACACGCCCTTGCATAGCAAATGCGTGGGGTGGAAAAGCCCAGGGTGTGTTGGGGGGATGAGAGGAGGCATGGGGAAAGGATAATAGGAGATGAGTCTGGAAAGATAGTCATTCTACGATGCGGAGGACCTCTAATGTCAGGGGGCAAAGTGTGGTCTCAATTCAGTAGGGAGCCACAGATGGTGTTTGAGGAGAAGGTGACATGGTGCTGCTGTCCAGCTCTGCACAAGGGGTGTAGGTCGAGCATCAGTCTACAGGATGGATGGAGGAGGAGAGGGCTGCCCATCGTGGTCCAGGCTGGAGGCAATGAGGGCTGGTGTCAGTGAGAACGGGGGGGAGGGGAGAGGTCAGAGCCACATGGCCCTAGAAGGCTTCTCCTCACCTGCTGACAGACCTCTCTTGTCCTTCTAGGATGTGCATTCCCGCTACCGGACGGAGGCACATCAGGATGTGGTAGGACGGTTTAATGAGAGGTGGGACTTTGGGCCACATTGCTTGGCAGACTCATGGGGACGACGGGTATTTGGGGTCTTGAATCCAGCCAGAAGCTTTAACCTGATTTGAGGAAAGGCAACTGTGGACATGCAGGATAATGAACCCTTAGAAAAATAACAACAGTGTTGACCAGATTAACGAGGGGCTGTGTATATAGTGGAAGGGGTCTGGCTTGGGGAATTGGGAGACCTGGGCTCCTGTCTTGGCTCTGACTTAAGTAGGGGATGGCACGTCAGGATTCAAACCCAGAGCCCCTGAGGGCAGATTCATCTGTTTTTTCCCCCACTGTGTGATGATGCCTCCTTATTGAGTATGAATTAACAAGGGAGATCTTTAGATGAGGCTCTAGGAGGGGGTGTTGGAGCTGAGCCTTTGAAAGGAGCTGGGAATGCCGAGAGGCCAACGCGGAGAGGGAGAGCATTTCGCGCTTGGAGGACAGGTGGACGGACAGACAGCTTGTGTGTGCCGAGGGAGACGGCAGTTCTGGGAATGTCCCTCGGGGCCTTGGTGACCCTGACTTAAGTCATCTCTGGCTGCAGCACTCCCGTCTTGTGACGTTCTGTGACATAGCATAACTCGGTCACCACTGAACTCTCCCTTTTATCGGTGGCTTGGGTGAAGGCATCCATGGGAATCCTGTTAGATACGCAGGTGAAATGGCCAACGCTCATGCTGGATGGCCAAGCCGTGGTCCTAAAAGCTCTCAACAGGCAAGGCCAGTGGGGAACCTGAGATGAGGCGAAGTGTGAACATGAAAATGTGGAAGTCAGAGATGTTGGGGCATCGTAGGCAGGCAGGAAGGGCAGGGTTTGAGTCCCGCCCCTGACACACAGAGCCTGTATGACTGTGGGCACGTCCCCAGACCCCTGGTACCCCGGGCAGCTCAGCTCTCAGTGGTCCTGGGATGCCCGAGGGGTCTTATTTGATCCTCTGAATAACCTTGTGTAGTAGACAGATAAGTATCCCTTATTTTGGCAGCTAAAGGGTACCGTGGATAGAGTGCTGGAAGTCAGGGAGACCCAAGTTCGAATCTCCTTTCAGACGTCTAGTAGCTCTGTGACCCTGGCCAAGTCACTTCATTTCTGCCTGCCTTGATTTTCTCATCTGTAAAGTGGGGATGATAACAGCCTTCACCTCCCAGGATTGTTGTGGGGATTGAATGAGATAATGTTGGTAAAGCATTTTATAAACCTTAGAGCCTTCTAGAAATGCTAGCTGCTGTTGTCCTCATTTAATAGATGAGGAAACAGGCAGATGGGGATTAAGTTGTCTTGTCAGTGGGAGAGCCAGGATGGGGGCCAGTCCGGCTCCAGTGTTACCTCAGAACTTGAATTCCACTTGGTCCGGCTTCCTCTGGGTGTGGAGGGATGTGGAGGCTGCGGGAAAGGTACGTGTGCCTGGGAGGGGGCAGCCCTGGGGTGATTGAGGCGCTTCCTTGTTCTCCTGGCTAGGTTCATCCTCTCCCTGGCCTCCTGTAAGAACTGCATCGTCATCGATGACCAGCTCAACATCCTGCCCATCTCCAGCCACATAGCCAACATCCAGGCCCTGCCTCCGAAGACCCAGGTGAGCGGGGGCCCCCCTGAGAGCCTCCATGGTGGGGGTGGCGTGCGTCATCGGCGTACGTCACCGGCCTCTCTTTCCTCTCCCTGGCAGGACGATGACCTGTCTCCTTCAGACCTGGAGCTGAAAGAGCTGAAGGAAAGCCTGCAGGACACCCAGCCTGTGGGCGTGTTGGTGGACTGCTGCAAAACACTGGACCAGGTGAGTGGCCGGGCTTCCACTGCGAGGCCTCCTGGGCTCCGGCGGCCCTCAGAGAATGGGAGTGGGGGGGACTTTCCTCCTTTCCGCCAAGGCCCCCGAGTCCCCAGCGGCTCCCTTTCCACAGCACTGTCTTCACGTGGTCTGTGAGCTCTTCTCATTAACAGTGTTGCCCTCTTGGGTTTCCACGGCGCCTCACCACAGTCACCGTTAATGTTTCTGTAGCATTCCTGGTCTATCCATTTGGTCCTCACGACAACTCCTGAAAGAGGGTGGCCCAGAAACTGAGGCCCAGGGTGTATTTGACTTGGCCATGGTCGCACGGTTAATAAGATTCAGAGGCAGGATTCACACCCGGGTCTGTGGTACAGTAGAACAGCCTGGGTGCTGGTTGAGGTTTGGCCATTTCTAGGCCATGTGACCTTGGGTATGTCAGTGACTGGGTGTCACTGTGCCTCTGGTTCCTCATTTGTGAAATGATAGACCCTGCCTGCCTTGGATGAGTCCCTAGGGGACTTAGGGCGCTTTGTAACTGCCACATTCTGTCCTTAATGGAAGTTGTCATTTGGACCTGGGGTCCAGAAGACCTGAGTTCAAATCCAGCCTCAGATGCTGGCTAGTCATGTGTCCGTGGGCAAGTCAATTCACTTCAGCCTGCCTCAGTTTCTGCATCTGTAAAATGGGGACAATAATAGTCGCCTCCCAGCGATGTTTGTAAAAATGCTTTGGCAGTGTTAAAGCACTGCGTGAATGTCGCCATCCTCATCCTGATTGTTTGGATTGGAAGCTCCTTGAGGGTGGGTACTGGTCTGGTCTTTTTCCTCTTGATATCCCCAGCAGCACGTAGTAGGTGCTTCATCAGTTTCTTGATTGATGGCTCACTATTATTATTAGTGGTTTGTCTTGCCTTTGAGCCCTGTTGAGGGCATTCTCCACATTGACCCGTTTGTTCTTCCTTCCCTTGGGAGGGCAGGAGAATCCCCAGGCCCAAGAGACGGCTCTTCTCTGTAGTCCTGGGGTGGGTGCCCCGTGGGCCTGGGCTCGGGAGGTAAGTCGGTGCTCTCTGGTCATCCCATAGGCCAAGGCCGTCCTGAAGTTCATCGAGGGCATCTCGGAGAAAACGCTGAGGAGCACAGTGGCGCTCACGGCTGCCCGCGGGCGGGGGAAGTCGGCCGCCCTGGGATTGGCCATCGCTGGGGCAGTGGCCTTCGGGTGAGTGGGCAGCGGGCCCTGGGTGTCGTGGGTGTGCTGTGTGGCCTCTCCGGGCTCAGTTTACTTATCTGTGAAATGGGGCCGATGCTGGCTGTGAGGACTGATGATCAGTGTGAGCGAGCGTTACCAAAATGGTAAAGCCCGAAGAGACCTGCATGAGGAGCAGGCGTCCCAGGGGCACACAGGTTCTGGGCCCTCCGGGGTTTTGTCTTGGCCCGGGAGAAGGGCAGTGAGCTGCCCCTGCGGCCAGGAAAACCACCTGTGCCAGGCGTCCTGCTCCTGGCACGCTGGAAGAACCCCCCCCCGGCCTCTGGAGATGGAGGATGTGGGTCCTGCCTTTAGTGCTTCCCTGCCTGGAGGACCTTGGGGCCAGTCTGGTTACTTCCCCAGCCTCAGCTGCTTCATCTGTGAAATGGGAAGTGCCTTCCCATCTTGAGAGATGCACTCCCTAGGTTCTCCTTTAATCGTAAGGTGAGCCACTGTTCTTATTACTGATCAGGAAACTGAGTCTCAGCAAGGTTAAGAGACGACCCCGTTCTCACATAGCTAATAAGGGGCAGAGCTGGGAGCGTGACTGCTCTTTATTTTCACAATATGCTTAATCTTTTTTTTTTAAGATTGGCATCATGTCCCAGTAATGTCTTGCTGTCCTTTTAAAGAGGAAACACAGTTAAGAAACAGCAAATTACCCTGTTGCTCAAGTCTCACGGTGTATGCCTCGTTCAGGCCCCGTGGTCCCCCACCCGTCTGTCCTCTGTGATCGTGAGCGGTTACTGCCTTGGCCAGAATTCTGAACTCGTTCCAAACTCATTTGTGTCTTTGTGTGTCCATAATCTCTTGGTTCTGCTTTCTTCCCTGGGACTGTGGCCCCAAAGTCTTCCTATTTGCCATTTCCCTAAGGCATTAATATTTCCTCATGTTCATAGGCCTCAGTTTCTCATCCCCCAGTTGACCAGCACTGACCGTGGGAGGGTGAGTGAGGAAGGCCTTTCCTGGAGGCACCTCGTCCTTCTGGCCTCTTGTCAGGAGGACCTGGCCCTGGCCGTGGGTGTCACAGTCCCAGACTCAGCACACCTGTAAAAGTGTGGTCAGAGATGTGAGGGTGGGAGAGCTCTGCCCTCAGACCTCTGGACAGCATGGGGGGGTGCTGCACTTGAGAGAAGACACCAGGCTATCTCCATGTAGTTACTGTCTTAATGCTGACGCAGAATGTAGGGGAAGGAGGGTGGGCTGGAGATGGGGGTCCTGGCGTGGAGTTCTGACCCTGCTGTGGGACATTGGACAAGTCACGTGGGGTCAAAAGGCCGTCAGTTCTCCCTCCCTCTGAGCCTCAGCTCCTCAGGGTCTCTGACAGTCACCTAGCTCAAATCCTGGCCCCTCCCTCATCTTTCCTTTCCTCAGGCTCCTTCCCTGCCTGTGCCTTGCTGGTTCCTTCTCCCTCATCTCCTCCTGAGGCTCGGTCAGACACCAGCCCCCCTCCCGGACGAGGTGTATCTGGTCTTCCTGATGCTGGTGCCTCATCCCCATCAGTCCCTTTACTTACGGGCACATGTCATTTCCCCGGAAGCTGCCAGTGGGAAGGGTCTGTTCCATCTCTGTCCAGTCTCCCATTTTACAGATGAGGACATGGAGGCACTGACTGAGCTGATGTGACTTATTGAGGGTCACCCAGCTCCTATGTGTCTGAGGTGGGCCCCGACCCCAGGCCCGACGCACTAGCCACTGTGCTGTCCTGCCTCGTGTGCTGTGGGCATTGGATAAATGACAGTTGCTTCCCCATTGCAGATCGAAAGCCCCTTTCTCTCTCTTCCCTAAAAGTATTCAGACCGAGGCTGGATGACCGTGTGTCATGGCTGTTGTAGCTGGGGGTTGTGGTCAGCTAGAGGTTGGAGGAGCCGGCCATTCAAGTCCTGTCCTGTTCTATGACTGTGTGACCCTTCTAGGCCTGGCTTCCGTCTCTGTACAGTGGGGATAGGGGCTGAGTGAGGATCTGGTGAAGAATGCGTCCCGGCTCTTTGACAGCCCGCCCAATGGGGTCACAGAAGGAACCGCGCCACCCCCACCCAGAGGCCTTTATTCTGCCCAGGCCTCGCTGCCCCCTCTTCCTCGGCCCCTTCTGTGGAGGGCAGTGGGAGAAGAAACTTTTGTTTACGAAACAACCAGCTGACCTTTCTTTGTCTCCAGATACTCCAACATCTTTGTCACGTCCCCCAGCCCGGATAACCTGCACACGCTCTTTGAGTTCATCTTTAAAGGCTTTGATGCCCTTCAGTACCAGGTGAGTGGCTCAGGGAAGGTGTGGACAGGACCCTGCCTTTGCCTTTGAGTTGAGGGGGGAGGGGATGAGCCTGGAGCCTGAGCTCCTGACAAAGCGACACCATTTGTGGATGCAGACAAGGGCCTTTGCTGTCATCTTTGTTAATAACAGAATTCACTAAGGCCGTAAGACAGGCTTACACATTATCTCACAAACCACCCTGGGAGGTAGGTGCTGGTATGATCCCCATTTTATAGATGAGGAAACTGAGGCAGGCAGATGGGAAGTGGCTTGCCCGGGTTGCCACAGCTAGGATGTCTCAGGGGTGAGACTGGAACACAGGCCTTGGTGACTTGAAGGTCAGCTGGTTAGCGCTAGGGCGGGGCTGGTCTCTGTCTCTTTAGCTGTCCCTTGCCTTCATGCCCCCTGTCTTTGTGTTTCAGGAGCATTTAGACTATGAGATCATCCAGTCGCTGAATCCCGAGTTCAACAAGGCAGTGATCCGGGTGAATGTGTTCCGTGAGCACCGGCAGACCATCCAGGTGACGCTCTCCAGCTGTGTTGGCACAGCTCCTGCGCATCTCCTCTTAGTCACTGAGCACGTGTCAGAGGCGTTGTTTTAAGATAAACCTCTTCCAGATTTTTGGCCTCCTCCAAGGGAAGACGTTTACATTTAGCAAGCATGGCTTGGTCATCTTGAACTGTGGTCTTATACCGCTTCTAAATTGAAGTAGTGGGGCTGTGAGAACCTGACCGGCTCAAAGTACAGAGCTCTTTGCTCCTCTGTTGGACGGACATCAGGGTCTGCGATGGCCATCTGTACTGGCTCAGTAACATCACCTGGAAGGCCTTCCAAAGCCATGGTTTTCCAACAGATACCCCCTTCTTTTCCATTTTAAGCAACTCTTTCCCGCTGCCTGGATGTTTGTCCTCTGCTAAGTCAGGGAGGAGGCCCCTCATGGGTGGGTGTCTTTGAGTGGGGTGGTTGTCCTGGCTGGCCGGGTGTTGTCCTTGACCAGTGAGCTATCATGGGCAGTCTCAGCAAGATATTCAGTGCAGACCAGAGAGGACAAGCACTCCAGGGAATTTGGGCTGGCCCTTTTTTTTTTTTTTGTAGGAGAATGGTAAAGATGTCCTTTTTTTAGCAATTTTTTTTTTTGTCTTTGCCCACTTAGAATCTGTATAGTGAAGAGAGTAGCTTTTTTTTTCTTTTCGGTGAGGCAGTCAGAGTTAAGTGACTTGCCCAGGGTCGCACAGCTAGGAGTGTGGCTCTTTTTGTGAGACCCTATTTCTTTCTCTTCCTGGTCTTTTCTTTTTTGTCTGTGACTGTGGAAAACAAAAGACATGCAGAAACTTGCTGTCATGTTGAATAGGGTTAGGATATGGATTGGTGATTTTCCCTAGGTGGGATGCTCTCCCAGGTGGGTAAACTCCCTCCACCAGGTTAGTCAAGAAACCAACTAGGTCACACAGCTGCAGAGAAGGGAAGTGCACATGGGAGAGAGATGACAGAGGAGCAAGGAGGGAGGTATTGGGGACGGGGGCCGCACAGCACCTTCGGGCTCCCCAGGCTCACAGGTCCTCCTCTTCTCTGTCCCCTTCACAGTACATACACCCTGGAGATGCAGTGAAGCTGGGTCAGGCGGAGCTCGTTGTAATTGATGAAGCTGCTGCCATCCCCCTGCCCTTGGTGAAAAACCTGCTTGGACCCTACCTCGTGTTCATGGCTTCCACCATCAATGGGTAGGAGGAGGAGGAGGTGGGGGATGGGAATGGGCCGTCTTGGCCGGGGGGGGTGGCGGGGAATGTAGCTCAACTCAGCCACTTTGGAAAACCACACTGGGGCTGGGGTGTGGATGGATCACTTACCCACCTCCTGGGGCTGCAGATAGATGAGATACCTGGGGCCAGGAGTGAATGGGCCGCCTGTGCAACCTCTGGACCGATGGTGGGTGGGCTGTCTACCCCCTGGAGCTGGGGTTTTGTGGGCCCAAGGTGGATGGGCCCCTTGGTGGTCCTCCACACCGTGACTTAAGGTTGAATTTTGAAACAAAAGGTTCTTCTCTACACCGTGGCAGGTGTATGTGTGTGTGCGTGGGTAGGGGCCATCTCTTTGAGCTGTTTCTGCTGTCATTGATCTAGATACGAGGGAACTGGCCGCTCACTATCCCTCAAGCTGATCCAGCAGCTGCGACAACAGAGTGCGCAGAGCCAGCTGAGCACCACGGCGGAGAACAAGGCCACCACCACTGCCCGGCTGGCCTCAGGTATCATACCCAGACGGGTGGAGCAGAAATCGGAGGATGCGTGCCTTCTGACCTCACTGGGTCCCTCAGGGCAGGGCCCGTCTCCCGGCCCGGGACCTCGATCCAGGGCAGCGTGGGAGGAGGAGCAGGACCCTGGGATGGGGTGGGGATGCCGTGACACTGAACTGAGGCCAATGGGTGACGAGCGTCCCGGCTTTGAGAAGCCCCCCAAGTACAGCGCCTGGACACAGTCACTGAAGGACGAGGACAGAGCAGAGCCACTCTGGGTGAAGCATCGTGGGTGGCTTGTCTTAGGCAGTGTTTTTAACTCTTACTTTTCTCACTGGGGGCAGCTCGAACGCTGCACGAAGTCTCCCTCCAGGAATCGATCCGCTATGCGCCTGGAGATCTCGTGGAGAAGTGGCTGAACGGCCTCCTATGTCTCGACTGCCTCAACATCACCAGGATTGTCTCGGGCTGCCCTCTCCCTGAGGCCTGTGAGCTGTACTATGTGAACCGAGACACCCTCTTCTGTTACCACAAGGCCTCTGAAGCCTTCCTCCAGAGACTGATGGCGCTCTACGTCGCTTCTCACTACAAGGTGACATAGCCTGGGCATTGCTCAGGTCGTTTGCCGTGCTCCTGGTGTCATCGAGGAGAGACTTTGACAGATGGGAAGCGAGCACTTTTCTGTGGGCCAGGCCCTGTAGGGAAGACCCCAGTGCCCACCTGCTCTCAGAGGGCTGTTGTCCAGGTCTGGGAGTCAGGATGCCAGCTCTGGTCTCATGTGCCCCTGGCAGAGTCACTGGGCTGCTGTGCAGAGTGAAAGGCTTGGGCAAGAAGATTTGTAAAGTCCCCTCCCACTCTGAAATGCTGTGAATTTGTATAAGCACTGTCAGGAGGCTCTGAACCTAGCGTTTGCCATAGGTATCTGATCCATCCTGGCTGGGTGACCTCAGGGAAGTCACTTAACCTCTCTGTGCCCCAGGCAACTCTTCCTAAGATGCAGAGCGGAGATCTGTTGGCATTGGTTGAGAGATTCCTCTACTAACAAAATCACAGGTCCAGAGTTTTAAAACATTTTTAAAGAAAAGTAAAACAGATGAGGATGAAGATGAGATCAGTTCTGCCTCTTTGCACTTATTGTGGAGTAGAGAGTCTGAGGTGTTAGCGGACCTGAGCCTTGAAACCAAACAACCATTTGAAATGGATCTACCATGCCTTCCCGGCCTTCTCTGGCTGTGTAGATTCCAGGGGAGAGATGGGAACTTGGGTGTCCTGGGGTGATGGGCCTGGGCGGCTTGGCCCGATGCAGCTACCACTTAGGAAGAAGAGGGCCAGTTCTAGGCCAGTAAATGTCCCCGAGTAAGAAGCGTGGTGCTCCTGTTCAGCAGCCTGGGCTCTGGAGAGGTTTTTAGTTGTCGGCTGGGACAGAGTTCCCCTGGAGCAGCCAGGAAGAATCTTCACCTTTGCAGTGTGCCTTTGTGGGCGAGCTTCAGAACGTCCCCCCAATTCCTGGTTGTTAGGGAGGATATCGTAGTGACAAGTTGTGCCTCTGAGGTGGGGAGAGCTGGGTTCAGATCCTGTCTTTGCCTCTAACGGCCTTTTCCAGGTTCCTCTCTCTCATCTCCTCTGAAGCCCCTTTCTTGCTGAGAAGTGATTCTCATGAGTATTTCTGACCCTGCCTTGCCCCCACAGAATTCTCCCAATGACCTTCAGATGCTCTCAGATGCCCCAGCTCACCATCTCTTCTGTCTCTTGCCTCCGGTCCCTCCTACCCAGAATTCCTTGCCAGAAGTACTAGCTGTCGTCCAGGTATAAAAAGCCTGCCGCGTGGTTTGGGGAGTAGTTTGAGCTTCTTGTATGGGGTTGAATCTGGGACCTTGCTGACCTCCCGGGAAACTCTAGAGAGCTCGTGTCTTTTGGGATGGCAGATGCAGGGCTCTCTGGTCCATGGGAAGAGCCTTCCATGGCCAGCCCCGTGCCCTCCCAGGATATACTCTAGCCTGAGCAATTCAGAAATCCAGATTCCAGCCCCCTAGCCAGGGTGTGAGGCCTTTCCCCTGCATGCCCTTGTGACTCCCCCCTCCCTGCCTGGCCAGGTCTGCCTGGAGGGGGAGATCTCTCGTCAGTCCATCCTGAACAGCCTGTCTCGAGGGAAGAAGGCGTATGGAGATCTCATTCCCTGGACCATCTCCGAGCAGGTGACCCGCTTTTTTGTTGGCTAGGTGCTGAGCAATTGTGTCCTGGGATGTACTTAGCAGCAGAGAAGAGGTTTCTGGTGTAGTTTGAAAAGCCCACAAAGTTTTGGGGATTTGGGGTTTTTTTTATGTCACTGTCACCTGACTGAAAGCTTTCTCCCACCTTGGAAGAACCCTCTCTTGTAACAAATAAGCATGGTCATGAAAAATAAATCATCACGCTGATAGTGTCTACAGCGCATGCCTCCTTCTGCCCCTATGGTCTGCCACCTCTGCCAGGGCCTCTGCAGTCACAATTGGCCCGTTGCATTCTTCGAGAATTCTGAAGGACCACCTGCATGTTGTTACTGGAGGCACCGTGTGAGCTTTCCCCTCAGTTCTGCCTGTTTCTAAGCTGCTGCCTTGTGTCCCCCGCACAGTTCCAAGACCCTGACTTTGGCAGCCTCTCCGGTGGAAGGATCGTCCGCATAGCTGTGCACCCAGATTACCAAGGGGTAACGTATTCTTGGGTCCCCTTGGGCGCACCTTCCCTTCTTGGGCTGCAGCTGCATGGCTGTGCCCCCTCAAAGCCTGTGTAGCGAGAGCAGCCGGCTCGCCCTTGCCACTGACATCCCCCTCGTAGTCCCTCCACGGTGCTCGCTCTTGCCTTAGGAGAATGAGTGCTTTCTACCAGATTCGACTCCAGTGACCTGCCCATGTCCCCGGGAGGTTCCTGCTGTTGAGTCACCCACCCCAGTGACCTCAAGCTAGGGTTGGTCCCATGATAAGTGGCCTTGTCTCGGACATCTCAGAACGGGGAAACAGAACACATGTGAGACTGTGCTTGTCCTAGAGCCTGGTCTCGAGGCAGACTAGCAGCCTTGAGCAGCGCTGTGACCCTGGGGAGGGATTTCCCAAGAGGAAGCCTTTTGGCCTGTGATAGGATGGGACACAGTATCATGGCCTTCGTCTCATCTTCCTGTTTGTGTGTCTTTGCTGTGAAGATGGGTTATGGCAGCCGGGCCCTGCAGCTGCTTCAGATGTACTACGAGGGCCGGTTCCCCTGCTTGGAGGAGAAAGTCCTGCAGAAATCACAAGAAATTAACACCGTGAGCAGCGAGGTGAGTGGCCTCGGCTGGGCTGCTCCTGGGGAGCCTCGTTTGGTCACTAAACGGAATGGTTGGGGCAGTCCATTTGTAAACTTTGATGCAGTAGGGCAACATTAGCTCTCATTATCACTTTGATTAATATTCAGTATATTGCTGCGCCGCTGTCAGTAATCCTGACCCCCTTCGTCCAGCCCTCTGAGAAGGGCTCCCACACTCGCTGAGTTCTTGGATTCTCGTGCCTGTTTGCATGGGCTTAACGTCCATCTTCACATTGCTGACACCTTTTGTTCTCCCGTCACACTCACGTCCAAACATGTCCACCTGCTTCCCTTAACCCACGAGTCCTCCCTTGTAGCCAAGATTTTTTTTAAAGAGACATTTGAAAAAAAAACCCTCAGAAAACTGCCCAAAACATTGAGCATGTCTGCCAGTGTACGCAGCAGTCTGTACCCGTGGCCTCTTGCCTCTGTGCTGGAGGGAACGGCCGGAGCCTTAGTCCTTCTGGAGCTGAACGTGGTCATTCCAAGTCCTCAAGGTCGGGCCCTTCTCTCGTTCCTCCCGTTGGTAATTTCGATGTCATACATACAGAGAAATAGATGACGTGTCTCCATACGTGGCTGTTTGTCTCTATCCACGTATGTATGTGCAGACATTCCTAAAGGGTGTACCCAGTGCTCTTTCTGCAGCCGTTCCTCCAGACCCCCCCCCCGTGCATCCCCGAGGCCTCCATGCTCCCTGGGTCTTCCATCTCACTGGGGTCTCAGTGGTGGTGGTTTGTCTAGCCATCCCCACTCTGTGGGCATCTGCTTGGATTCCAGTTCTCCCCCCACCCGGCCCCCAAATGTAGCTCAGATGTAGTTACAGCAGGCCCCCTTCCAGAGTGCTTTCCTCTCTACGAGCCTGGGGGTGATGGCTCTGTGTCAGCGTTGGAGGGACCATGGGGGATGGGGTCATCTTTTTAGCCCTTCCTTTTAGGAAGGAGGAAGCTGTGGCCGGAGGGTTGGCCTACGAGGGACTAGCTCAGGGTCCTTTGGGCCTGCCTGATGCAGTTCTTCTCCTGGCTGCAGAGCTGTTTTTAAAAAAAATTAATACATTTTGTTTCAGTTCAAGATGCTTCCCAGCAGACGTTCAAAGTGAATAAAATTGCACAACAGCGTAGTGGTGGCTGATGAGTCAGAATTGAAGCTGGGAAGGACCCCAGAGGGCATCTGTAGACTGTCCGCTAAAGAAGAGGAGAACTTTTATTATGATTTGTTCAGGGTCACACAGCTAGTAAGAGGCGGTGGCAGATTTTGAACTCTGGCCCTCTGATGCCAGGGCTGGTCCTCCTTCCCTATCACGCTATCCTGTAGGTAGTACACATGTTACTATTACCAATTTTTAGGTAATACTAAAGATCTGAAAATAGTGTTGGCCATCCAAGGTCCCACAGCTTGTACGTGGTGGCTGAGGGCTGCTGGACTGCTCTCCCTTGAACTCCGGTGCCCAGCACAGTATCTGCACATAGTAGGCGCTTCATAGTGCTGGGCTCCTCATTCAGCACTGGCGCTCAGCACAGTGTCTGCACACAGTAGGTGCTTTGCAGTGCTGGGCTGCTCTGTCCCTGGATGGCCCACATGTTCTGCCTAGAAGCAGGAGCCCACCAGCCCCACCGGGGGGGGAGTGAATGGTCAGTGACTTGTTGTCCCAACCTGTAGGAAGGAGTGAGTGACTCCCCCTCTCTGATTTCTCCCCTAGGCTGTCAGCTTGTTGGAAGAGGCTGTGACTCCCCGGAAGGATCTGCCCCCCTTGCTCCTCAAGCTAAGTGAGAGGCCTGCAGAAAACCTGGATTACTTGGGCGTCTCCTACGGCCTGACGCCAAAATTGCTTAAGTAGGTCACCTGCCCCGTTCTGGGTCTGGGGGGGCCAGGTTTGGAAGCTGTCCCACTGTTGCCTTGGGAACCCTCCCAGCCAGCACCCTCCTTAGTTATTCCTGTTCCACACCCCCAGACCGGGCCCGGCTTGGCCGCTCAGCACCAATGCACAATATCTGCTGTCCCCCCAGGTTCTGGAAACGTGCTGGATTTGTTCCTGTGTATCTGAGACAGACACCAGTGAGTGTGTGTTTGTGCGTGTGTGCACATGCATGTGTTCCATTGTCTCTTAAGGGAAGCTTAGCATCCTATGAAAGTGTGATGCCTGTAATACTGGTATTGATAGCTCCATGAGGGCAGGGACAGTCTGGCCAGAGTGAGCCTCAGTATCCCTAGAATCAGAATGAATCTAGTGATGGAAGAGGCAGACTACTGGCCCCTGGGCCATGCCCAGCACCGCCCTGGAAGGAGCACCCAGCATCTTTACACCTGGATCCTTCCACTTGGGCCTCACACATCACGGCTTTGAAAGGACTGTCCTGCCTTGCTGATTCCCAAGAGGCCGTTGGGGGCCTTGGCTGCTGCCTAGAGAGAGCCAGGAGAGGCTCGTGGGGTAGCTTGGTTTGAAGGCAGGGGGTGGTCAACAGCCTCTCCCTCAGTTAGCCTGAGTTTGTCTCACTCCGCTGTGTGTGTCTCTGGTGCTTGGGCATGTAGCAAACACTATTTCCTATTCATTCGTTTTTCAGCCTAGAGGGGAAAGGCCATCACAGAGGAACCGAGAACGCATGTTCTGTGCTGTTCACTGCATTATGTTTGTGTGGGGCTGAGGATCAGTAATTCAGAAGAGGTTCGTGGGGCTAATGCTCAGGGTGTCTGTTTCTCAGAATGACCTGACAGGGGAGCATTCCTGTATCATGCTTAAGACTCTAAGCGAAGAGGAAGATTCCGAGCAGGAGCCCTGGCTCCCGGCCTTTTGGAAAGGTACAGACTGAGGGGGCTTGTGGGAGGCTGGAGTGATGGGAGGCCGGGGATGCCAAGCTTCCATGGAATCAACTTGCCTCACTGTGTGCCCCAGATTTCCAGAGGCGCTTCCTGTCCTTGCTGGCTTACCAGTTCAGCTCTTTCTCACCTGCCCTGGCTCTGAATATCCTACAGAATAAAAACATTGGGGAGAAATCCCAGGCAGGTGAGTGCATGCTCGGGTTTGAGGGGGGGTGGGCTGGAACTATGGAAGGCAGAGGAGAGAGCGTTGGTTGGTTGGGGTAGAAGGGCTGGACCTCCAGTTTCTGCCCCCTTCCCATCCACCCTCACTAGCTGAGTGCTCTTTGGCCATAAATGGATAGCAGTAACAACAGCTAGAGAGAAGATATTTATTGCTTTAAAGTTTGCAAAACTCTGCCCATCACTTCTCCTTCAAGCCTCACAGCATCTTTGTGAGGTGGGTGATACTCGCATTTTACAGAAGAGGAAACTAAGTCTGAGGAAGTTAAGAGCCTTGCCCAGGGCCACAGGGAGTGTCTGCAGCAGGATCTGACTCCCAGTTTCATTACTCTATCTGGCCGCCTTTTTAACCACTTGCTTTCCTCATTTGTCATGTCACCTGTCCCTTTGACCTCACTGGGTTATTGTAAAAACTCAGATGAGCTCATGTGCGTGGATATGCTTTTTTTTGGCTAGGCAGTAGGGTTAAGTGACTTGCCTAGGGTCACACAGCTAATAAGTGTCAAGTGTCTGAGACCGGTGAATGCATCTTGAAAGGATGTTTTGGAATGGAAAGGATTCCCAGGGGTCCCCTCTGGTTTCAAGATGGTGCCCTGCACTGGTGGCTATGGTCTACCCAAGTTAATCCTATCCAGGAATCTGGGCAAGGGGACATGATGCCCCTGCAGAAGGAATGGTGAATGGGAGTCTAGGAAATTAATCTTTCCTTTTGAAAAAACAAAGCCACCCGATGCAGGTTCGGAGGGAGGGAAGGCATGGTGGCAGATAGATGGTTGGTGGGGATGGGTTTGCCCTCAGCAAGGGGAGAGAACAAAGTCCGCCGTGGGCTTTGTGTTCCCAGAACTGAGCCGAGGAGAGCTGGAGGCTGCCTTCCTTCCCTACGACCTGAAGAGGCTGGAGATGTATTCCCGGAACATGGTGGATTATCACCTGATCATGGACTTGATTCCGGCCATCTCCAGGATGCACTTCCTGAGCCAGCTAGGGCAGCTGTCCCTGTCGGCTGCACAGTCGGTACGTCTGGCGCTCAGGCAGATCGCCGGTTGTGCAGCTCGTCCCGAGTGCTCTTCACACGCTCTCTAAGCCTCAGTCACTTCCCCTGATGCCATTCCTCTGGACTGAATGGCTGCTGAGCTGACCATCGGTCACTCGGGCTTATTAAGCACCTACTGTGTGCCAGGCATTCCTAGAGATAGCGTGAAAGATAGAAGACGGTCCCTGCTCTCAGGGAGCTCACGGTCTTCATGGGTGTGCAGCTGACCACACACAGGCCAGATGTAGGTAGGATTAACAGGAGAATTAGAAGGCTTCACAGCCCTAGTAACTCTAGGTCCTTGTTGACCTTGGACCCTGCAGAGAGGTGGGGGCGGGGCAGGTGAGGGGTCTCCTCTCACTTGGAGTCTTCCAGCCGAGGCTGGGACGCACAGATTGGCTTTCGGGCGGCTTCTGAGCGTCAGACCCTCGAGATTGGGTGATTGTGGTTTGTGGGCCAGAGGAATTAGTGGAGCTGTCAGCAGTGAGCTGGCGGGCAGGAGGCTGGAAGCCTATGAATGTTAGTTATATGTCTTCAGTAGTCATTACCAGTATTCATCGGTACCGAGTTAGAATGGGCATCAGGCAGCTTAAAAAAAACAGTCTGGCTTGTGTCATCAGCTGGGGGCTGACTGGGCCGGGGAGTTTGCTGTGATACATTCTTGCCCCCAGGCTCTCCTGCTGGGGGTTGGCCTCCAGCACAAGACCATGGACCAGCTGGAAAAGGAGATTGAGCTGCCCTGCAGCCAGCTGATGGGGCTCTTCAACAGAATCATCCGCAAAGTGGTGCAGGTAACAGATGCTTCCAAAGAAAAGTCTGTCGAGGTTCCCTGCGACTCCCTCGGTATCCCTCCCTGTCCTCCCAGACAGCCATCCTTAGAGGAAAGAGGGAGAACATGAGCAATTCAGCCAAAGTAGCCCACCTTGAAAAAGTCTGACGTAGGCAGCGTGCTTCCCGGGTGTCTCCCACCTGCTAGAGACAGGAGCCAGCCAGCCGCTCAGGGGCCCCTGCCCACCCCCATCCTTGGTTTCCTTCCTCAGTTGTTCAGCGTGATCCAGGAGAAGGCTGTTGAGGAGCAGATGGTGGCAGCCAAAGATGTGGTCATGGAGCCCACCATTAAATCCCTGAATGAAGACTTGGTACGTTGGCCTCTGCCCCCGGGGCTTCTGTCCCTCAGGCTTGGCCCTGTCTCCTGGGGCACCAGCGTCGTCTTTGTAGCCCTTGTCCCCTCCTGAGATTTTCTGTCCTTCGTGTCGCTACAGGGACATCTAATCCCTAGGGCATCTCAAGTTCCTCTTGTCCCAAAACAAGGATTTCTCCAAAAAATCTGTCTTTTCTCTGTGTCTGAGGCGGCTGGGTGATGTGGTGAGAAAGAAAGAAGAGCAGGAGGGAAGGAAGGAAGGGATGGAGGAAGGGAAGAGAAAAGTGAGACATTCCCCAAGCACGTGTGTGTTGACTGTGTGCCAGGCTAAGTACAGGGAATGCCAGTACAATCCAGAAAGGCAGACGGTCCCTGCCCTCAAGGAGCTTACATTCTAACGGCGGGTGACAGCACATTGAAAGGGAGATGAAAAGTTGGGTTGGGGGAGGCATGGCCTGAAGTCAGGAACAGGGCCAGGAAAGGAATGAAGGCTGGCTGGCCGGGACCACTGCACAAGAGGGAGGCTTCGGGAGGACATTGGAATCAGGAAGACCCGAGTTCAAATCCTACCTCAGAGACTTATTAGCTGTGTGTCCCTGGGCAAGTCAGTTACCTCTTTTAGCCTCAGTTTTTCTGATCTACAAAATGGGGAATATTGAGGAGTCCAAGACCATCCCTAAGGGCTAACATGTTTTGCTGCCAGTGGTTAAATCTTGCCATTTCATGCATGATTGTTTTTCTCTGTGCCTTGTGTGAAAAACTGAGCTCTCTGTGATTTTTAGGAAGAGAAGGGAGACTTATTGTATCTATTGGGAGTTCCTTTGTTCCCCACCTGCAAACACAGATTTCGATTTGTCTCTGGTGTGTGTATGTGTGGAAATGTTTTTTCCTCCACTGAGGGAAAGATAGCTGTTCCCCAAGGAGAATTCGGAAAGGTGTGCTTACATGCTTGCATGGGATGGCAGGTTTTAAGGCAGAAGGGAAGAAAGGAAGCATTCTTTTTTTCCCTCTTTCACGTATTTTGTCGTGGCTAAGTGTCAAATTCTGACTTGCTTTTGCTGTTGGTTTTATTAATTCAGAATGAAGCTGCAAAAGAATTCCAGGAAAAACACCGGAAAGAAGTGGGGAAGCTCAAGAACATGGATCTGTCACAGTAAGGACCTGCTCCCAGCGTCTCAGAGCCCCGTCCTGTCCTCTGCCATCTCAGTTCTGTGGTTAGGTCCCTCTACAGAGAAGAGCGGAGGGGTGTGTAGCAAGAAGGGAGTTACCAGAAATTGGGAATCCGGCTTTATTTCATGTTTCGCAGTCAGGCAGGCACTTCCCCTCTGGGCCTCAGTTTACTTGGTAATAAGTCAAAAGTGTTGGACAAAATTTTCCTTGAAGACTCTTTTTAGTTTTAGATCCTGTCGCATTCCCTGGTTTCTTGGGGTGCTGTGTTTTAGGTGCTAAAGCATCAGCAGTTTGCTAGGGCAGCAAAAAAACTGGAAATTCCACCGGTCCACTTCACACCCCCTCCCCCCATATTTGTTTTCGAGCAGATGGTGAGTAGGTGTGCTAAACAAGGTCGTTCCGTCTTTGATTCTGCAGGAAGGTTCCTCTTACTCTCTGGGGTGGTAGCTGCCGTTTTTAGGGTTTGAGGCCCAGTGTTTGGAGCATCTTTCAGGACTGACATCCCCCTACCCCCAATTTTGGCCCATACTTCTCAGGATGCTTAATACTTTACTGTTTCATCTCAGCATTTATTAAGCGCCCATCTGTGCCAGGCACTGTGCTAGGTTCTGGGAGTTTAGGTGTGTCACTGAGGCAAGAGAGTTTATGAAGCTTCCAAAGTAGAGGGTCCCATTTAGTGTGGGGCATTCAGCCCTGTGTACTTATTCAGCCTGGAGGGGATCAGCCTGATTAGAAGAAAGCCATTGATGCCATGATCCCCAGCTTTCAGGCTGGAGGGGCCTGAGAATTTCTCTAGGCCCCTCATTTTACAGATGATGAAGCCAGAAATTCAAAGTGAGAAGGTCACTCGTGTAGTAAATGTTATTAGACCCATTGCTTTGACTCCAGGTCCAGTTTACTGAGTCACCAAAGAAAGCTTAAATTGTGTTCTGCATGGAAGTACATTTTTCCAAGAAGCAAGGGCATGGGCTTGTAAGTTCTGCCCTGGGGCGGTGGCTGGAGCCCGGGAGCTCTGGGATGGGGTAGGGCTAGAGCTGGTCAGGGGTCCTCAGTAAGTTCAGCACCTGCGTGGTGGAAGCGGAGCCCTAGGCCGCCTTAAGCGCTTGTCTGGTTCTTGTGCTCCACGGTCCTGGTTCCCTCTCCCGTGGTGTTAATTAGCCTCCAAGGCCAGACTGGGGACGGGTTGGGAAAGGTCTTACTGTGCTTGTGGTAACAGCCAGGTCCACAGGAATTCAGACCTGCTGTTGTTGCCATGTTGCCCGTTGATGCCTCCTTTCTGGGGGAGATTGCGTGATTCGCGGGCCCCTTGGCAGGTAGAGATGGCCGCGATCACCAGGTCCTCCAGAAGCATCCGTTATTGCTCCCGCCCCCAGTCTTCTTTCTGTGCTAGAATCGGAGTTCACTGGCAGCAGTGCCTGGGACTCTGGCTTGGGAGCATCTTCCTTTTTTCTGTTAATGGACCCCAGCCCGCCGAGGCTCCCCCCGTCGCTCCTTTCTCCTTAGCTGACCCTGCTAACAGGACTCCCCAAGCCTCCCAGGGATGTCCTGGCTTTCACACTGACCCTCCCTGAGTTCAGTGTCCGTCCCTTTCTTGAAGGGAGATAAGTTCCAAGAAGAGCGTTCGTCTCCCCCAGAGGTGACTTCGTCCAGCTCCTGCCTTGGGCGGGCACAGGTGAGGAAGCTGAGGCCCAGACCGTGTCCCGACATGCCCCAGGCCTCCTGAGCTGGGCTCTTCCTGCCTGAGCTCTCCTGACCCCGTGGCACCCAACAAAGCAGTGTCTCCGTAAAGGCTTCCAGGGAGGCCCTCCCCACTGAAGCAGCCTAGTCTGTTAGGGAGTCTTTCCTTTTGTCAAGAGTAGATTCGTCTCTCTTTTGTCCTCAGGCTGAGCAGGGTAACTGGAATCCCTCCTTTCCCAGGATAACCCTTCAGATGCGTGGAGGCGACTGTCTTGTGCTGTGCCCCTTCCTCCCGTCCTCTCCCCAGGCTCAGCGTCCCTGAGCACCTTGTCACAGCCTCCAGGACGGCATCACCGTCAAATCATTTTGGAAGCTCATGATTGAGGGGCTGGGGCTGGGTCTCACAGGCCCCACGCATGGCACATTCATGGTCCAGGCTCTGTGACGTTTTGGGGTCCTCTCAAGCCTGGGAGATAGGGAGTAGGTGTTTACTGTTATCACTGCTTTGGAGAAGAGGAAAGAAGGTCTGCAAGAAGTCAGATGGCTTGTAGCTTTTAATAATCTGGGACAAGATTCATAGGTTCTTGGCTCCCGGACTTGAAGGGACCGTTGCATTTTACAGATGAGGAGACTGAGGCTCATTTGCCTTGGTTCCCCAGTGAATACAGAGCAGAAGTGGATAGCGAACCCAGGTCTTTCCTGACTGCTGCTGCGGAGCTCTGCTGGGTACCATGCCCCTGTGTTGAGGGTTGAAAGAACATGAGATGAAGGAATGGGCTGGAATGTGGCCCAGCCAGCTGCTTTGGGCAGTTCTGCAGCACAGCCTCGAGGGCAGTGACAGCCTTGGAACAGGAGGAAAGGTCTGGGGGAGCAGTCCTAGTGGTGCGTGGGAAGGGCCAGGTAGGAGCTGGTGTCCGGTTGTGGTCCCTCAGGTGGGTAGGTAGTGAGACTGCTGGTAGGCCGGATTGGTCCTGGCAGCAGTGCTGGGACCCTGACTCACTCTAGGCCTGCAGCAATTTCAGCTGAGCACCTCGAGCTGGGGTGTGATCACTCACCTTTCCCTTGGGCACGTCACCCGAAGATTTACAGACTTTTGTTTGTTTTTGGTGAGGGCAATTGGGGTTAAGTGACTTGCCCAGAGTCACACAGCTAATGAGTGTTATGTGTCTGAGGCCAGATTTGAACTCAGGTCCTCCTGACTCTAGGGCCAATGCTCTATCCATTGTACCACCTAGCTGCCTCATAATTCTGTTGTTCAGTCGTTTTTCAGTCATGTCTGACTCTCTCTGACCCCATTTGGGGTTTCCTTGGCAAAGATACTGGAGTGGTTTGCCATTTCCTTTTCCAAGTCATTTTACAGATGAGGAAACTGAGGCAGAGTGAAACAACAGCTAGTATATGTCCAAGGCTGGATTTGATTTCAGATCTTCCTGACTCTAGGCCTGGCACTCTATCCACTGCACCACCTCGCCATCCCAGATTTACAGCCTTTCTTTCTCAAAAGCGTCCCCCTCTCCTGCACAGCCAACTTTTTCACCTGGTCCCCTGTGTTCTCTTTAGATACATAATCCGCGGTGATGATGAAGAATGGAATGAGGTTTTGAACAAAGCCGGAAAGAACGCCTCCGTCATCAGCTTGAAAAGGTGAGGCCTGGAGCCCCCTGGGAACTGGAGGAGTCACCCAGCCCCCTCCTCCCAACCCATTTTCCAGATGAGGAAACCAAGGCTTTGGTTGGGGAAGCGGCTTCCCCAGGGTCACCTTGGGGAGTCAGTCTCCCAGTCCCAGTGTTCTCCCCACAGTGTCATGGCAGCTGCCTTACCCCTTCCCCTCGAGGAAGAGAAAGATTGGAAAGCACAAGGCTCAGCATAGTTATTTTGGCTCAGCACCCCAAGGAGGGGAGTGAGAGACAGACTGGGATTTTACTTTAAGGATTAAAGTGGAGCCTTCCTCGAGTCTCACCTGCCTGGTCCTAGCTTGGCTGGTAGGGCCGTCCTCTGCGGCAGCCAGGAGCTTCCGTCCTCTGACGTCCTTGGGGTTCTGGAAGTGTGGTGAAGGGGTGGTGCTTCTGAGAAAGCGGCTTCAAACTCTTTGAGGAGTTTTATTGGCAGCTTTTGACACTAGCTGTCCCTCGGCTCCGTAATTTGTGAATTCTCCAATCCAGCTAACATTATTAAATGCCTGCTGTGTGTCCTGCCCTCCCCAAAGTGTGCACACACTTGAGCATGCATGTGCACGGGCAGACACACGCACGCACACACTCTGAATGCTAGGCAGTGGGAAGACAAAGACAAAAGTGAAATTCCCTGCCCTCAAGGAGGTGATGTTCTACCTGGGAGGAGGGCATGCACACAGCTCCAGTGAAGGGAGCATTGAAAACCAGGGGACTCGTGATGCTTCCTGTAAGAGGTGGCGCGTGGGCTGAGTCTTGAAGGGAGCTAGAATTCCACGAGGCATCAGGAGGGGAGAGTGCACCTCAGGCATGGTATCAGTCTGTGCAAACACACCGACGTTGGAGGAGGAATATGGAGTGTCAGAAACATTTGCACAAGACCAGCTAACATCTTGAGCAGGGCCACCAGTGCCTGCCACGTTCTGTGTCCGTAGCCCCCCACCTCTCTGTCAAGAGGAAGGAAGAGCTACACGGTCAATCGCGTTCAGTCTTAGTTATCTGCCTTTTGGCGTTGCGACGCCTCTGAAATGTTGCCAGGGATCATCCTGGCACAGGTCATTATGCCTCTGGTTTTCACTTTATGGCCTGATTGTGGGGAGGGGGAGGGCAAAGAAAGAGCTCGTGGGAGATTGTTTCAGGAGACCCCCCTCTCGCCAGGGTAAGTGTGACTCCAGACCCGGGGAGAATTTTGTTCTAACTGTTCCTAATGAATTGTTCAAGTTCAGCCCTAGAGACAGCAGCCATCATGGTGGGGACAGGGATACTCAGACTCCCCCTTACCCCCATTGGAGTTCCTGTCTGGCTTCCAGGGTAAAGCCCCATAGAGGAAGGTCTGAGGCAGAGTGGAACCCAGGCATCCTTGGGCCAAGACATGTGCCCATATCAGCCAAAGGTGGTTCTGAAGCAGTGGGTGCTTGCCATGTCTGCGTGGGGGTTTTTGGAATGGCTGTGGGTGGTGACTGTCTCCATCTTTATCTCCTCCTCCTCCTGTATTTACTTAGTGACAAGAAGAGAAAACCTGAAGCTGAAAACAACCCAAAACAGAACAAGAAGTTGAAGAAGGGCCGAGATATGAAAAGCAAAAAAGATGGGAAACAGAAAAGGAGGAAATAGTGGTGGCTGCTGACTCAGGCATTCGGTGAGGGCGTTCACCCCTGCCTGCAAGGACAGGAGCCTGTCCCCGGGCCACCGAGGGCAGAGCTGTCGTTCCAGGATGCTCTGAGCTTGGGCCCCTCTTGGCCTGGCACTTTCCCTTTCGCATCTGGATTCGCCCATAAAGTTCTTCCCACCCACACCCACTTCTGAGTTTCCTTCCTGACCCAGTTTTCCAGATTGGTTCCCTTGTACCCTGGAGAATCAGAGGGGCTGAAGAGTCATGCACTGGACACGTCCCAAGCATCTTAAGAAGGCAGCCCCAGGTCTTCCTCTATCACGGGCAGGAGAAATGAGGGGTCAGGGCAGGGGATACCAGAATGGGTGCCCGCTCGAGTCTCAAAGCCAGACACTTTGGCATTCCTGATCTCCCGCCAGTGTTTCAGGACCAAAAGCCTGGAGCTGACAGTGGACAGGATCTTCAGACTGATCATGCTTCCGAATGGTTGCCGTTTTGTTTTGGGTGGACTGCAGATTGATGCTGGAAACTCCACCTAAGGCAGCCCGGGAGTGAGAGTGGGGTGAGGGTTTTTAACACTTTAAATTTCAAAAGGACTATTTGTGGGTTGGGTATTAAATACCTTTGTGCATATAAGCCAATTATTGTCTGAGCTCTGAGTTGGAGAAGAGAAAGAATGTGTCAGCAAGAGTGAATTAGGTCCAAGAAGAAAGACCTGGTTTCAGATCCTGTTTCTGATGCCTGCTGGCTGTGATGCTGTGGGCAGATCATTTCAGTACCCCTAGGAGAACTGTTAGCTACAGATGAGTTGCTGATGAGCCTTGGGGAAGAGAATTTCACCACTGGGAGTTCTAACTATACTGATGAACTCACAGGTCCAGACAACAAATGTTGAGAAAACAAGAAATCTGGTCACTTTGTGGTCCCTAGATTTCTGCAGGCTTAGAAATGGCCTGACGTAGATGCCCTGGGGGTGGGGGGTGGGGGTAATGGCTATAGGGGTCGGTGACTTGATTCCAGCGCCAGAGGCAGAATCTGGTTCCAGTGGAGAGGGGAGGCTGTCCTGGCATGGAAGGCAGAAGCTGATTAAATTGAAATGATCCCTTGGCCTGGGGCCCAGGAGCTCTGTCCTGCCTCTGAACTAAAGCAGTGGAACTGTAGGCAGTCACTCAGCCCTCCCAAAGCTCCATGCCCCTCCGGTTCTTCCTTTGAAAAGGAGGGCTGAATTTAGATGAACGCCAGCGTGCGCAGTCCCCTCTGCGGTGATTCATCCTGCCTTCCCTCCCTGTGTTGCCCACTGCTGCTGCCATGTTTGTTTGGCGACTCCTCTGTCAGTGACTACAACCGTTGGGCAGCTGCTGGTGGACTTGGCCTACGTGGAGTTCTCTCTCACTGGCAGCAGGCGTTGTGGGAGGCTTTGTTGTGCCTACGCTTAAGGATTTTTCCCTCAGTGGTCTCAGGAGGAATGTTATTTTCAGATCAACGAATCTTCATAAGGAAAGTGATTTCTGAGGCAGCTATGTCACTTAATTCATGAAATTCACCTTGGATGGGTCAGTTTGTGTCTTACCTGACTGGCCTTCAGGAAGGGTCAGGGAAAGTAACTCGGAAAGGACCGAGCTTTGCTGTGGGCTATCCACATGCCCTGGTAATGGGCCTTCCTCTGTAAAGTGACCAAGGGCCCTTTGTCTTCCCCCCTACCCCCAATCTAGTCCTATGCTCTTGAACCATTTAAAGCAGATTTTAAAACCTTGAGTCTGTGGACTTGTTTTTTAAATATTTTGACAACTCGAGATATAATTGGTTCTCTTTATAACCCTATGCATTTTAATTTATCCATTTAAAAGCGGTGTTCTGAAAAGGGTCAGTCACCAGACGGCCTGCCCAAAGGTTCTGCCGCACAAAAGATTTGAGGACTCTTTAGAAACTGTATCCATAGAGATGCCATTTCCACTATATCCTCATTTATTTTTCTTTGTATTTTGATCTGCAGAATGAATGTGGTCATCTCAGATGTGGTTTATTTCCATAGGCTGCTTTCAGTCTCCAGGATTATAGTAACACCCCTTTTCTGTGGGTTCTGATGCACAATTTAGGAAAGGTCTGATGTTCTTTTCGAGAGGGTGGTTGGTATGGGGCTGTGGTGGGGGGTGAAGGGGAGGAGATTGCCCCTTGCTGAAAGGCGTTTTAAAATGCAATTCCCAGACTTGATCCCCAAAGGGAGATGAGCCTTGACCAGCAGGGTAACTGCCTGGCCACCTGCTTCGTCTCAGCTTCAGAGAATAGTTCTTAGCAGAGGAGAAAATGGTTTATGGGGAGGTTGGAAGGTCTTTTGTTTCCTCAGTCTGCTAGTGAGATGGACAACTATCTCCCCCTGTCCTCTGTTCAGGGATAGGGCTGAGCCATGATGCTGATTTGAAAGTAAGGGGGGCCAAGCCTTTTCCTATGGTAAGAAAAGGTGGAGCCTGGCTCAAGAAGTGGGGCTGGTTTGTTCCCCTAAAGTTGTGGCCACAGTCCTACCTGAAGTCTGGATACTCAGACACAAGCCTGGAACCCTTACACTGTTCGTGAGCCCAGCCTGAGCTAGAAGGGGAGGCAGAGGCAGGTGAGGAAGGGACAAAGGTTTTCTACTGGCCAAGAACCAGCAAATGAATCTCCCAACTTCTAAGGCTCCGTCCAAAATGGGTCCGCCAAGTTTTAGGGGAGAGTTGGAATTTGTTTGGAATAACGGTGGAGACTTTCACAATGTTTAGGCTAGATGGAATTTTTTTTCTCTTTTTCTAAAATTGTTTCATTCGTGCCTTTTTTCCCCGCCCCCTAAAAACACTTCATCCTAACGGTGGTGACTGCCTCTGACCGCTGCTACCACACACACGCACACACACACAAATCCAGTGTGCATTTCTACATCTTTGAGACCAAGATTTTAAATTACAACTAGACACCCTGGCCTTGTTCTGGTGTTCTTTTCATTAATATAGCCATTGTTGACATCCTCTGGGTACCACATTCTTCACCTCCTCAAAAGAGGCAGTGAGGTGTTGGAACAATGCGGCCAGCCCATCGGAGTTGCGCTCTCTGAAGGCGAGTTTGAATGCTTGGCAGTTTAGTTAAGAAAGGACCTCAGTGTCTGGTATCATCCTGCCAGGTGATCTTCAGAATTCTAAAGGGGGAGCCATGTAAGATAACATAATGTAAGATAATGTAAAGCCATGTAAGGATAAACGGGGAGATAAATGGGGACGTAGAGAGCAGTTAGGAGGTCATTTCAGCTGAGAAGGCCCTGGTGGGGCAGTGAAGCTGCTGCTCGTCTCCTGCCTCTCTGACCGTTTCTTCTTGGTCACCTTCGTGGCATCTTCATCCAGGCTAATTGTCAGCCCCATGCTCTCTTCTTGGGCCCTAGCAGCTCCTATGGATTCAGTTATCCGTGCAGAATTCTCAGGTCTATTTATCCAGCCCCAGCCTATCCTCTAGTCTTGACTCCCAGCTACCCACTAGACATCCAATGGGCAGCTTAAATCCAAGCTGTCCAAAATTGAATTCATTCTGTTTCCCCCCAAACCCAACCCGTGTACTAACTTATCTATGGCTCCCAAGGGTCCCACCATCGTCCCGGCCCCTCGGGTTCACTGCCTAGGTATCATCCTTGATTCTCGTAATCCCTGCCCATCCCAGCGGCTGCCAGGCCCTCCTGCCTTCTCCATCCTACGTTCACAACCTCTCCTGACAGTGTCCAGTACACCTTCCCTGTATTCCCTGGCACACCCTCATCGCTTCATGCCTGGATGATTTCAGTAGCCTTCTGCTTGGCCTCCTCACTTAGCCAGCAAAGAGATGTCCTTCCCTGTTCAGAAAACTTCAGGATCAAGTTGAAATTCCTGTTTGGCTTTTTTTTTTTGGCTAGGCAATGGGGTTAAGTGACTTGCCCAGGGTCACACAGCTAGTAAGTGTTATGTGTCTGAGGCCAGATTTGATCTCAGGTCCTCTTGAATCCAGAGCCGGTGCTCTATCCACCATGCCCACCTAGCTGCCCCTCCTGTTTGGCTTCTAAAGGCCTTTATAACTTCGCCCCTTCCTACTTTTCCAGTCTAATTGCACCTTACTCCCCTCCACATTTCCTGAGACCCAGTGACCCTGGCCTCCTGGCTGGTCCTTACCCCTGGCCCATCTCTCCACTTGGAGCATTCTGCTGACTCTCTCCTCATGCCTGGAATCCTTTCCTTTCTCATCTCCATCTCAGGACTTGCTCCAAGTCTCAACTAAAATTCCACCTTCTGCAAGAAGCTTTTCCCAACTCCCATTAATTTTAGGGCCTTCTAGGCAGCTAGATGGCACAGTGATTAGAGCCCTGGAGTCAGGAGGACCTGAGTTCAAATCCAGCCTCAGACACTAGCTGTGTGACCCTGGATGAGTCACTTAACCTGTATTGCCTCCCAAACAAACAAAATTTTAGTGCCTTCCTTCTGAGATTATCTCCAATTTATCCCAGATACATCTTGTTTTTACATAGCTGGCTGCACATTGTCTTTTCTATTTGACCGCAAGCACCTTGAGGGCAGGGACTTTTTGTATCCCCAGTTTAGACAGTGCCTGGCACATAGTAGGTGCTCTCTAAATGCTTATTCCCTTCCCTCCTTTTCTTTGCATCCCATTCCTTATCACAGTGCTTGTTACATAGTGGATACTTAATAAATAAATGCTTGTTTACTTGACTTAACTAGAAGCTGAGGAAGCTGGGAAAATCCTCTGGCAGAAGGAAATCTTTGATCTAACTCTGGAAGGAAGCTTGGGATGATAGGAGTTGGATGTGAGGATGGGCAAAGCTCAGGGGCACAGCCAGGGCAAAGGTGAGGAGGTAGGAAATGAAGACCTGCCTTTAGGAGAATCAGTTTGGGGGCTCAGAGAAGGATGGGATGGGGTGGGGAGAGACTGGAGAATGAGAGGTCAACCATAAAAACAATACTGTAGGTACAAGGGCATGAGGGCCTGGAGCGGGGAGTTTCAGTGGCAGAGGAGAGAAGGGACAGAGGTGAGGGTAACAGGGTTTGACAGTGGCTTGGTTATGGGAGGTGAGAGAGTGAGGGGTCACGGATGACACTTAGGCTGTGAGCCTGGGGGACTGGGAGGATGGCTGTGCCCTCAACAGCAATAAAAAGGTCTGGGAGAGGGGAGGGTTTGGGGGAGTGGGACATACCCCCAGAATTGCTATCTGGAGGCCCCAGAAATAGTAATCCAGTAGCTTGGCCCATCAGGAACCCTCCTGGGGCTGAGGGCCAAGTCAGGTCCCTATTTATAACTCCATTCAGCTGTGAGGATTTGCAGGGGTGGGTGGGAGGTGCAGATTTGAAACCTGTGATTTGGGGGGGGGTCAGGGATGGGTTTTAAGCAAGCCTTTCTCTGAGGGGTGTGGCTACCAATGCTGTATCATGCTCCAGAACTGGGGGAAAAAGGCTCCTCTCCCCAAGACCCACCATCTGGGCCCCAGACAGAGTGAGTGACATCTGTAAGGCTGCTGCTGTCTCAGCAAATCGCTCTTGTGGAATTAATTCAGATGGGCTGGGCTAGGAACACTGTCCCAGGGTGGTTGGTAGGCTTTGAACAAAAGCTCATCTTGAATGGTCTGCTATCCCCCAGGCTGGGGGGGGGAGGGCAGAGGCTGGGCCTCCATTGCTCATCTGGCCCTGGGGGGCCCAGCTGATGCCTTAGTGACCAGGAGAGAGGGCATAGAGTCAGCTGTGCAGACGAGAGGGGGTGGGGAAGAGGAGGAGGGAATGTGACAGCTTCTGGGGCTGGAAAAATGCAGGCTCATTATCTGTGTCTGCTCATATTCCCTCCTTGCAGGGGGCAGAGACGAGGAGGCCCAGCCTCTGAGTATCTTCTTACAGGTGGAGGATGGGAAGATTTATTGTCTGTTCCCTATCCCACCCCCCCTCTGTTTTATGAGAACTCATTTCAAATTGGTAGGAATTCTGAGGGGCAGGACAGTGGAGAAAGAGACTGGGGAGGTCTATGCAGTGTCCTCAAGGAGCAGAAAAAGCCATGAGTCTATGTTGTACAAGGGACCCCCAACACCATTTTCCTGTTATCTGGCCCCCCAAGACTGGGCAATTAAGACAGGGAGTAGGGGGCGGGGATGGGATGCTGAGAGTCAGAGCTGGGGAGGAAGGCAAGGGCCAGAGGACAAAAGACCTTAGGAGGCAGCTCGTTTTGGGAGGAAAGGTGGTCATAACCACAGTTAATATTTATGAACTTTGCAAAGCTTTACAAATATTATCTCATTTTATCCTGATGACAGCCCTGCAGGTAGGAGTTAATAATACCCCCATTTTAGATGAGAAAAACTAAGCCACCCAGGGACACACAGCTAGTAAACACCTGAGTCAGGATTCAAACTCGGGGCCTTTTGGCTCCAAGTCACCACATCATCTAAGCTCTGTGGATGGAATGTGGAAAGGCTCACCCTAGGTGTCCCAGATCCCTTCCCCACCTGTCCCTGACACACCTGGCCTCAGGGAGGCCTCTTACTAAGGCAGTATGTAACTGAGCCCAGCCAATGGGGGAAGGGACCAGGAGGGACCTTGGCAATCCTCAGCAAACGGCACCTGCACAGCTCCTGCCCTCTGAGGGTGCGGGCCTGGCCGAAGCATGCAGGTGGCTAGGCAGTCTGATATTCCTGATTAGATTTCCCCCCAAGGTTCTCCAACCTCAACAGCCAGAGTCAAGCCATGGACAAGTGGGGGACCAGAATGTGGAGG